ACCGTTTTCAACCTGCAATTACCCCTCCTTATGGATTTCCAAACTTCTTTCATTTTTCAGTGCCTTCCTTCCCAACAAGGAACCTTCCTTTAACCACAACAGCCTCCCACTCCAGGGCTCATGAATGTGTGCCTTTTCTTCCTTCCCAGTCTCCTAAATCTCATTTCCCTGATGACTAAACCAAAGGTGACTCATCAACTCACAGTTTACAACTAGAAGGGGCCAGAAAGATCATCTTATCTGACTGGCTCATCTCCACTTGGTCCAGAGAGGGGAAATGAGTACCAACGTGATACTGCTAGTTGACAGCAGGGCCCAAACTAGAACACAGATCTCTTAACTCTGGATTCCTATCTCACACTGCAGAACAAGTAAATTCCTTTGTAACTTCAGGAAGGGAGAGCACTACAACCAAATTAGAGTAGTATATTTCCCTCTTAGTTGGAAATATCTTAAATGCAGGAATTAAGTGTCATAGGAATTAAGTGTCAGACAAACTAAATTTGATCCCAGCTCTGTTTGCTCTTTGGACAAGTTATTTAACCCCTCTATCTTGATGTTTGTCCTTTGTATCTTTTTTCTATGCATTTGTATTTTTAATATACGTATTTAAATCTGTGAATGTGGTTGGTTAGTAATGAGAGAAGTTGGGGCCGGCCCGGTGGCGCACTGGATAAGTGCGCCGCTTGGGAAGCGCGGCGGCGCTCCCGCCCGAGGGTTCGGATCCCACATACAGACCGGTTCCCGCTCACTGGCTGAGCGAGGCGCGGGAGCAGCGCCGAGGGTTGCGGTCCCGTTGCTGGTCCCCGGTCCGGTGCGGGGGCAACACTGAGGGTTGCGATCCGTTGCCGGACACGGAAAAAGACAAAAGACAAAAAAATAATAATAATAATAATGAGAGAAGTTGTGTGTGTGCATTTTTACATACATAAATGGAATATACTGGTTCTGTTAGTTTCTTTTACTTAACAATGATTTTGAGGAGCCTTTTCCATGTCAGTGCATATAATTGTGTCCTGTTCCTTTTAATGACTGCATAGTGTTCCATAATGAGTATACCATAGTTATTCAACCACTTCCATATTAATTAACATGTAGTTTACTTCTTATTTTTCACTACTACAGTTGTGCAGTAAAATCTTTATGCAGATATTCTTTTTTTTTTTTTTGTCCTTTTTGTCTTTTTTCGTGACCGGCAACGGATCGCAACCCTCAGTGTTGCCCCCGCACCGGACCGGGGACCAGCAACGGGACCGCAACCCTCGGCGCTGCTCCCGCGCCTCGCTCAGCCAGTGAGCGGGAACCGGTCTGTATGTGGGATCCGAACCCTCGGGCGGGAGCGCCGCCGCGCTTCCCAAGCGGCGCACTTATCCAGTGCGCCACCGGGCCGGCCCCTTTATGCAGATATTCTTGTGTATATGTGTAACTACCCCTCTAGGATAATATTCAGAAATGTAAAGACCACGGGCTGGCCCGGTGGCGCACTGCTACAGTGCGCCGCTTGGGAGTGCGGCGGCGCTCCCACCGAGGGTTCGGATCCCACATACAGGCCGGCCGCTCACTGGCTGAGCGAGGTGCGGGAGCGACACCGAGGGTTGCGATCCTGTTGCCGGTCCCGAAAAAAGACAAAAAGGAAAAAAAAAAAAAAAAGAAATGTAAAGACCAGGTCAAAGAGTATACACATTCAAAGACTCCTCTTTTCTGCTCTGAAAATAGGCTATGGCTAAGTCACTACTGATTCAACTCTGGCATTATATAATGTTGATGTTAACCAGGCAGAGGGTGTCTTGTGACTGCATGTAGTATATTAGGAACTGGGAGCATTTTGGAGAAATTGCACCTTCATCATTTTCTTATACTGTGTGGAAGATACATTGTGTTCCTGACCTTGAGGGGGGAAAATAAAACAAAACAAAACAAAAATATTCTTTCTCTTCCTTCCAAGAGTCTGAGATTAGTGAAATAATGATCTCTAAGCAAACTCTACTTACTCTATGATAGCAAGAAACACCCAGAATTATAATTGTAGTACTTATCTGTTTATACCCAGCCCCTAAACTTTGGGCTTCTTAAAGGGTAGAGATGATGTTTTATCAATTTTTGTCTCCTAGGACATTAGCATGATACCTAGCAAATAATTACGTTTTGTTGAATAAATTAATGAATTCAGTTCAACATTTCTCTTTGTTGAGTACCTAGAACATGCAAAGACTGCTAAGAATTGATAGGAACAGAGATGAAGCAGTCAAAGTTCTATCCTCAGGGAATGTATAGTCTTATGGGAGAAATAGATATAGGCTTAAAATTTCTAGGAATCAGGGCATTAGTGACAAATGTGATTTAAGCCAAAATGACTTAAGTACAAAGTATGTAGGACTTGCATGGAGATCTAATTAAAGCTTACTGAGGGAGGCTGACCAGTTGACTCACTTGGGAGAGCGTGGTACTGATAACACCAAGGTCAAGGGTTGGGATCCCTGTACCGGCCAGCCGCCCCCAAAGAATAAAACAAAAATGAATAAAGCTGACTGAGGAGATGAGGAAGGTTTCACAAAGGAAGTGGCATTTGATCTGGGCATATCAGTGATTTTTTTAATATAGGTGATCATTTTGGTAATTAAGAACAGCATTTGAACAAAGGCTTCAGAAAAAATTTTGTCAACATAAAGATATGTATCCTTGGGACTTCAAAAATGCTAAAAGTGGAGTTATCTGTACTTGGGCTCTGGAACTAGGATGTCAACCAAGATCAAGCCAAAACAGCTTTAGTTCTTGGTATGTCTGTGGAGGGAGAAGTTGCTTCCATATATAGAAACACATATATAAAAGACCTTCAATTCTGAATGTCTTAACATGCTGCTATTTCTCCTGTCTTTAAAAACAAAATACAACTAAAACTTCTTTTGGCCCCACTTTCTTGACCAGCTGCCACCCCATTTCTTTGATCTGCCTTGCAGAAAAACTCCTTAAGTTATCTTTCTGTCCCCAATTCATCTTCTCCCATTCTGTCTTAAATCTACTTCTATCATGCTCTCACCCCCACCAGTCCATCAAAACTGTTCTTGTCAAGGTCAACAGTGACTTCATTGCTACTCAGTCTAATGGTCAACTTTTAGTCTCCTCCCTTCCCGACCTGTTAGCAGCATTTGATGCAGTTGACCATTCCTTCCTCTCTGATACACTTTCTTCCTTTAATTTCTAGGATATCACACTAATTTTCCTCCTACTTGATTGGTCATTCCTTTTCGGTCTCCTTTGCTGGTTCCTCCCCTCCCAGACCGCTTACTGTTGAAAGGCCTAGGCTCCGGCCTTGGTCTGCTTCTTTTCTCTGCTTACATTCATACCTTTTGTTATCATATCTCATAGTCTGAAAGCTTTAAATATAATATGTATTCCATTGATTCCAGAATGTATTTCTCCGGCTCAGACCTTTGTTCTGAACTCTATTCTCATATATCTTCAGCTACCTACTAGACATGTCCAAAACTGAATCCTGATCCTTCCTCCTACCTCAAACCTGCTTCACTTAGAGACTTTCCCTTCTCAGTTGATCATAACTTCATCCTTCCAGTCACAAAAACAAAAATCCTAGAAGTCATTCTTGGAGTCATCAGGAAATCATGTTGGCTTTATCTTCAGAATATATACAGTATCTTTTTCTCACCACCTCTTCTGTTCAAGGTGCCATCTCTCTCCAGCAGCTTACTGCAATAGCTTCCAACTTGTACCCTTGCTCCACCCCAGACACACATGGTGTGTTCTCCACACTGCAGACAGAGTGACCTTTTTGCACTCATTTGCTCAAAATCCTCCAAAGGCCTCTCATTTTACTCAGAGAAAAAACCCAAGTCCTTATAGTGGCCTACAAAGGCCCTTCAAGATCTGCACCACAACCCTACCCCTGCCCTTACCCCTCTCGCCTCATCTTGGGCTTCCACAATTCCTAAGACATGCCAGGCATGCTCCTGCACAGCTGTTTACACTGGTTGTTGCCTCTTTCTGGTGAGCTTTTCCCCCAGATATCCACGTGGCTGACACCCTCACCTTCCAATCCTTGCGTAGTCATCATCTGAATGCAAATCTACCCTGATTATCTTTTAAAAATTTGAAGTCTGTCACCATCCTCATTGTTCCTTATATCCTTTACTCACCTTACTTCCCCCCCCCATAGCATTTATGACCTTCTAACATACTATATAATTTACACTAGACTCTAGGCTCCACAAGAGGAGGAATCATTGTCTCTTATTTGCTGGCATATCCCAAGCACCTGGAACAGTGCCTAGCATTTACTAGGCCTCTCAATAAATATTTGCCAAATGAATGAATAAATCAGAGTTCTCTATTCAACAAGGATTCAAAATATCTTCATTGTTTTTCACTCAATTTGCTTATCTGAACAGGCAAATAAGTAGGAAAAGTACGGGGCTGATGACTGAGGTCTAGCGTGGGGCCACACTTGCTATTTGTGTAATAACCATGGGCTAATGAGAGTTGTTTTGGGTTTGTGAAAGTTTAAGCTATATATTTATGACATATACATTTTCTTTTATGTATATGTAAAATTTTAAAAGGTCCCTGTAATCTGACTCTGAAGATAACAGCTACTAACATTATGGGGAATATCTTCTTCACATGTTTTATTGCTACATATAGATTTTTAGAATAAAATTGAGATTCTACTTGCTTTTTCACAAAACCATACATCATGAATATTTTCCCTGACATGAAATATTCTTCCAGAGCATGATTTTTACTGGTTATGTAAGTACTTTAAAAAGCATAAGATACCATGCAATGTACCATGGTGATATTATTATTCCTTCTTCAAGAAGCTGAGATTTTGGCTGACTGGTTAGCTCAGTTGATTAGAACGCAGTGCTGATAACACCAAGGTCCCGAGTTCAATCCCTGTACTGGCTAGCCACCAAAACAACAACAACAAAAAAAAAGCTGAGATTTTGTTTTAAAAGATTTTGATTTCTTCCCTTTTTCTGTAGGGGACATGGTCTCAAAGTACCGAGAACCTTTGATCCATACCTTCCTAAGGGGAGCAAGAGATCCAGATAGTGCTCACCGGGCCAGCAGCTTAGTCAACCTTGGAGAACTGTGTCAGAGGCTGGACTTTTTGCTGGGTGCTGTGGTTCATGAGGTATGCATGTTGCTTCCTTTCTCTAAAGCTTATTTTCACTTGGACCTATGATACAGCTTGGGACTGGGAGTCAGGAGACATGTGTTCTTTTTCCAGACCTGCCCCTGCCTCCCTGTGAGACAGGACAAGCAAATCACTTAACTTTCTTAGGCTCATTTTTTTCATATGTATATTGAAAATTATATTCGTAAGAATTTCTTTCTTTCTTTTTTTTTAAAGATGACCAGTAAGGGGGTCTTAGCCCTTGGCTTGGTGCTGTCAGCACAACGCTCAGCAGTAAGCGAACTGGCCAGCCCTATGTAGGATCCGAACTCATGGCCTGGGTGTTATCAGCACCGCACTCTTCCGAGTGAGCCACAGGCCAGCCCTAGTAAGAATTTCTTAGTTGCGAGTGACAGGAAATCATTTTAATCTACTTAAGCAATAAAAGATGACTTATTATAAATATTCCAAGGTAACTAACAGAATTGAAGAAACTTTGAAGAAGGGTAGATAGAACTTTACCCTGGATCTTTGGGCCATCTGGGAGTTTTATCTCTATTTACAGAACATATCTTAGGCAAATACTCTAATTGGCCCTCTTTGGTCACAGGTGCCCTGTGTTCAGGGGGATGGGGTATTTTACCAGAAAAGACTTAAGTTCCATGTTTTGTTCACCAAACAAATTATACCCAATGTCTGGCACATAGTAGGTACTCAGTAATTGTTGAAAGGATGAGTGGATAGCCAAAATAATAGCCGTATGAGGTGTTGGGGCTGGAAGCTCCTTCTGGTTTCAGAGTTGATGATTTTATGAAATCTGTATCTTGCTGTTGTCCTCTATGACCATGTTCCTTTGGCTTCTTAAATTTTATCTTTGCCTTGAATTTATTTAGTTATCAGTATATCAATATATGTGCCAGCCGGTTAGCTCAATTGATTAGAGTGTGGTGCTGGTAACACCAAGGTCCAGGGTTCAATCCCTGTACTGGCCACCTGCCAAAAACAAAACAAAAGAAAAGCAATATATCAATGTATATCTTGAGCACCTACTATGTGCTACAGATGATGATGGGCAGAAAAGGTCTAGTTTATATGTAGCCAGGACTCTTTTTACTATCAATGTACTTGACCATCTTAAATCTTTTCTGGAAGAAGATGGCTTATAAATTATAAATAAGTAAAATACAGTTTAAGTTAACTTTTTATTTATGAGAGACCCAGATTTCTCATCTAGAGCACATAGCTTCACAAGAACAAATCACAAAAAGAAAACTGTAATACTGGCTTCTTTTACAATCATCAGTATGCTAAGGCTGAACATCAAATCTTAAGAGGTACCTACTGAGGGGGGATTTTCTTCAGTGTGGGGTAGTTGTGTTCATATCAATAAGCAGAGAAGCGCACTCGCAAATGTATCTATACACTTGAATTTATGGTTTTTCCTGATTCCTGAGCTTTACACATTTTGCTTTGTTGGTTATAAAAACTACTCTCATTGTTAAATTCCAGACTAGGATTTTTAGGAAAGTTATATATCAGTCATTTCCTCCCCTTTAACTCTTCCTTGAGGTATCACCAGGTACACCTCTATCCCCAAATTTTTGTGCCCTTTTTAAACTAAATTAGAAAAAACAATTAACACCTAGTTAAAACCTTAAGTTCTGTAATATACATGAATCATTAGGTACCTCGTCTTTGGTTGTTTTGGATGGTACTTAGCAAATCTCTTATTTCTTTAGTAATATTAACTTGTAACACTTAAGAGAAGGCTTTTGTGAGTCTATTTGGTTATATTGTCTGAAGATTTCAGCCTAGTATAATTTCTCTGGGTCAAATACTGAAGTGGTTTCCACATTTTTTCTCTGTTTTCTTGTTCTCTTCATAAGACTCAAACCAAACAGAATCGTAAACCATGAACTGAAACTGCTGGACCATGAGCCAAACCACACCCAAATATTATTATTTTTAATAATGGCTTTACTGAGATATAATTCACATACCATACAATTCACCCATTTAAAGTGTACAATTCAGTGGTTTTTAGTATATTGGCAAAGTTGTAACAGTATCACAAAAATTTTTTTAAACATAGCCATTATCTATGCAAAAATTTTCCCCAGATCTCCAAGTGGATCAGCTCAGCCTTGATGGGATCCATATATGGTCTAAAGCTAATGAACCTGAGCAGCCTGAACATCATGATCTCTAAACCCAAACAGTGAGATCATATTTCTTTTTGACTCCTTAGACTCTTTCCTTTCTCTTTCTCTATTTTTTTTTTTTTTCTTCTAAAAAAGATGACCAATAAGGGGATCTTAACCTTTGACTTGGTGTTGTCAGCACCACGCTCACCCAGTGAGCAAACCGGCCATCCCTATATAGGGATCCAAACCCGTGGCCTTGGTGTTATCAGCACCGCACTCTCCCGAGTGAGCCACAGGCCAGCCCCTCCTTTCTCTCTTTTAAGGAAACTGCAGCATGCTGGCGACATGTGATTTGCTGTCAGAAGTGTTGGAGAAATTTCTTGCTTTGGTTGATTAGGAAGATTGAGCTAAAGCAGATTTTGTAACATTCAAGAAGTATCATCTTTCTGGAGGCCCACCCGACCAAAAAACCCAATTTGCCAGGCACCCTTGGGGATGGGAATCAATGAGGGCCCACCTCCACCTCCTACTTACCTGTGTTTACTTGAGCAAATGAGACTCTCAGCTCAGTTTCTTGATCTAGAAAATGGGACTAAAATACCTACAATGCAAGATTGTTACAAGGATCTAGAGATAATATATATGCTTGATATAATGATTTATTCAACAATTTTAATCAAGAGCCAAGTAGTATTCCGGACACATAAGACATATCACTCTTAAAGGTAAACAATGATTCCCATTTTCATGGAGTTTCCATTCCAGGGTGAGGAGACAGACAAGAAATAATATACATATTCAATCAGTAAAGTATATATAGTATGTTAGACAATGGTAAGTGCTATGGCAAAATAAAAAAGAGGAGAGGAAGGGAGAATCAGGATTGTAGTATTAGGTGGTGGGGAGGTTGCAGTATTAAATAAGAAAGGTGACATTTGAGTAAAGACATTTTACATTTCTGTATAAGATTTTTCTTTAAGGAGCATCTTGGTCATTTGAAGTGGGCTGATGACAGTGATGAGGATGAGCACCAAGGAAATGAGAACAACAGGTAGCCAATGTCTTTAAAATGTCCCCAGTTGTACATTTACCAAACTCCTACAATGTGTCAGGCTCTTTGTTAAGGGCTGGGGATGCAAAATCCTATCAGACACAACTGTACCTCCTGGGCATGGGTAATCTGTAATCTGGTGTAAGATACATACATCAGTGATTACAGATATAGCCCACTGGGATAGGTGCTGTGAGAGCACATTTGAGGAGCCCCTTGGTCAGGTTTGGGTGTTGACAAAGAGGTCCTGGAGGAAGAGACCCTTGAAGCTGAATCTGGAGAACAGGTAGAAGTTAGGTGAGCCAGGAAGGCAGAGGTGAACATTTCAGCAGAGGGAGCAGCTTGTTCAAGGACATGGCAGTGTGGGATGCATGACATGCTCAAAGGACTACAGGAAGATCCCAAAGGCTCAGCTAGAGTGAAGGGGCGGAGGGGCTAATTAAGACAGGAGCTGAGGCAAGATAGGCAGGGGCCACGTCATGAGGGCCTTAGCTTTATGGCTTCCGGGCACACAACAAGAATCAAGCATTGCTTATTTAGCCTTCAGAAATAAAAGTACAAATAGGTAGTATGGGTGAAGTGCAGATAGGTAGGCTGTTTGTCTACCATGAGTGCTGGCACAACAAGAAGCACCATTTGTGACCCTGGGACCTTCTTTATGTCTCAACCTTAAAATCAGGATGAGGAGCTGCTGCTATGGGGTTACTTACCTGGCAAATCTCTTGTCCAGTTCTCCTGCCCCACTTCTGGAGACCTGGATTGTTTTACATCAATCCCAGGAGTGTTGACGATTATTAATAAATTGTGAGCACAACAAGGGCAGAACAAATCTTTATTCACCTTTTCATACCCCCTAGTACCTATCATAGTGCTTGACATATAGTGGATGCTAAGTGTTGGCTGATCAATATTGAGTGAAGAAGAGGGTAAGGCTGGTTGGGAAGACTAGTTACTACATGTTTAAAAAATAGTCATAATAGCAAGCACTTAATACTCTTCTGAGTGCCTTAATGATCCAATCCTCACAGAGGAAACTGAGGCATAGCGAAACTAAATAAGTTGCCAAGATCACGCAGATAGGAAGTGGCGGGCCAGGATTTAAATGCCGACAGTTGGTTCCAGAATCTGTGCTCTTAACCACTCCTCCATATTGTCTCTCAGTAAATGTTTTTAGTTCATTTATAAGATTGCTTTTGTGCCTTTGAAACGGAAGAGGATTGCCATATGAGAAAAGCTACAGACAGGAAGGGTCATGTAGCTGTGTCTTAATAGAGCTTTTTTTTGGCAGTGAAACTTTAGAAGGCAGTATATTCTCTCTGATTTGAAAAACCAGGTGTTTCCATCTCATATAATTTTGTCTCTTCTTTTTAGATGTTCCTTCTTATGTAGCATCCCATGCTTGCCTTGTCATCAGTGCCAAACCAGCTACCTTGGATGGACTACAAGTTTGAACATGCTTGGACACCTGCCAGTCTTAGTATTTCAGCCATTGAGTCTTTCTAGAGTCAGACAACTCTAGTCCATTCACATGGAAAGAATGGGATATTTGGCTTGGCTCTTAAGTAGTTCTTCATTCATTTGTTTATTCATTCAGCAAATATTTATTGAGCACTTACTCTATGCCATTTAGGACTATAGCCAAGCCATGTGCTAGGTGCTGGGGACCCAGCTGTGAACACAACAAAGTCCCTGTCCTCATGGACCTGACATTCTTGAGAGGAAAGGTAGACAATAAACAAGTAAACAAATATGACCATGTCAGGTGGTGGTAAAGTGCTAAAGAGAGAATCTAGTAAGATAAGGAGCACAAAGGGAGCTTGTTA